TGGAGTGCCTGATACCTTTATACACAACATTAAAGTGAAGATGCCAATACAGTAAAATGATCTGAATGTATAGCATTGCAGAAACACTAGTATTAAAAAATATATGCATGTCATATAGCTTGCTCACACTTTGTAATGAACGACACACCTTTTATAAGAACTTGACACCAGCAGCTCATACTAGCTGCACAATGTATTGGCACTAATAAATGATTAGGGCAACCATGTTGCCTCAGCCTTTGACTTTGAGATTGGAAATTAATATGTGTTGTCATGTACTGTTATCCAAAAAGGGACACATGGCTCTATCTAAAAAAAGGGACAAGTAGAGGTTAATTCAGTGCTGAGGAGTAATCATTCCAGTATGGAATGATCAGCTGCCAGTTTCTTTACTGGTGGCACAATGATGTATCTACATCTATGGAAATAATAACCAAACTGAGAGAGGAATACTTTCAATGTTTTTTTTTCTAGGATTGTTTTGTCAGCATACAGTATTACAGTTACTTTAATAAAGTAATTCAAATTCAACAAACTGTTTTCTTTGCATTCTGTTTTATGTGAGTCCGTCATCAAATGTTTTTTCCAGACACATACAGGTATAACACAGAAAATGTATGTGTCTTCGTTCTTGTACCATTTGCTGCAAAATGCTGAATAAAAAAATGTGCTGAGCATTCAAAGCATTCATGGCACTAGAGAACTATCCTTCAAAAAATCTGAAAAAATGGTAAGTGATTAAGTCATTAATTAGGTGAATGAAAGATAAAGACATTTCATGTTTTCAGTAATGTCACGTCAAATTCATAAAATTGTTTCACTTTATACCTTCAACCCCTGTGACAATGGTACAATCTTTCACGATACGTAAGCATAAAAAATGTGTTTAAGGATATCAAGTGCATATTGTATTGTGGTATGTTCCAATTGATATAAACAATAACTGAAAATTAACTGTCACAGCAGGAGTATTAACACTATGTAAGAAACTAAATAAATAAATGAGTATTGTTTATTTTTTATTTCTTCCAAAATTTACAATGAGCACGGTAGTTCTGGATGACATGCCAACAAAAACACAAAAGATTTTCATCTGATTTCATTTACACAACATCCTTGTTAAAATATTTCAGCAAGTTTAGAGTTGAAAACTCTGCTCCATAAAACCTTAACATCAACATTAGAAAGTAACAAATGTGTGTCTCTATGCATTGTGAAGCTGCAAGGGGCATTATCCTCAAAGAACTGTGGTTTCCCTGAAGCATAATCCATTTTTTTTTACTTTTTTGTAAAAAAGAACACTACTCAAAAACTGTGTTAGCCAATGTGTCCTGTTTCTATGTAAATCTACTACTGAATTGGTAAAGTGAGTCTATTGGAAAGTGCAAGGTGAGAGAAGGCAACTCTACTGATGATGCTACAGGACTGCTTCAGAAATGGTGCAAACTTAGGACTGGTAGAGGAATTTGAATAGTTGAAGACTTAGGACCAGAGAAGCAACTGATCTGAGAAACAAACGCTGTTGTGGCCAACGGTCCATGAGTGTGGAGAAGATCTGTTTGTTTATTTTAGAAAACAGTGTTTCAAGCATACCGAGTCAGAGTAGTTGTCCTGTATTTTAGACTGGGAAACTCAAAGGCACTTAGGAGCCTAGGTTCAAGCTAGGTTAATTTAGTTTCAGGTATTTATAAAACAACAAAACACCATCTGTGTGTCAGAACCTTCACAGCTTATATTTCCCAAGGTATCACAACATATACACCTAAAGGTGTACACAGTTATGGAGCCACCAAGAGAAACAGAAAAGACAAAAATCAGTATCGAATTTTAACTTTTATAAAACCTCATTTGGGTCCTCAAAAGAAAAGTTAATCTAAGCTTGGTTTTCCTTGCTTTTTATGCGTAGTTTTGTTTTGCAGGCTTGTTCTCAATAACGCTAAAAGGAAGATTAGTCTGGTTATGTGTTCACAGCCATTAATATGTTAAAAATAAATCCTTCAACCAAGTAGCCTTCATGTGAGTTGTGTTTATTTAATGTTATTTTAAACACCGTTTTCTGCTTCTCCTGCATTTGTAAAAGAAGAACTACAAACCTTAAGGTTTATATTATATTAAGGTTTTTAGTTGCTTTTCTTCACTCACATTGTTTCTAAAACTAAAAATGTTATTATTTTTTCATTCAGTCCATAACTGTCTATTAGTTAGTTGCCTTTTTGAGCTTCATGGTCTAATGTCTATTTTATGCCGTTTTGATACTTTAAAACCTCACTCCTTTGGTCCTCTCAGAGTTCAGTGAGAAGTACCTGTTTTTTTAAGCTACTGTTTAATCATAAAACAGGTGGCAGTATCAATGACTTTCTTAAAATGCTTCTGCTTTAAACAGCAAATAATGTTCTTCCACAATGATTTATACTGTGTATTCTCCTTTAATGAACAGCTGTGAAATTTGACTGAGTCTATTACTGTAACTCTCACAGTTGTTTTGCATTTTCTTTTTTAGCCACTTTTATATTATCCACTACTTGTTCTGTATCTATGATTGTGACACTATGACCTAAACCATCAACATTTGCCATTTATTTCAAATATTCCTGGTTTTTAGTTGCTTCCTTCACACTCTGTTTTAGCTTTTAGTATCTCTTCATGGTATTGTTTATTTATTGTATTTATTGTTCACCTGTATAGGTTTAATTGCTGATATTTGCACGTTATTAGATAAAGCACTCTTCATTAGTTCTGGTTTATCTGAGACTGGCAAATTAATTTGTTTTAATGCACATTGCTACCTATGCATGATGAATGTGTTATAATACAGTTTGAACTGTTTTCATATTAAGAGAATTTGTGTCCACTTTATTTTGAAAGCCTTTTCTGTTTCAGTCTGTTATGTTTTGTTTTCAATTTTGTTCTCACTTTCTGCCAGGTCACTGGTGATCTTATTAAGAGAGAAACTTTTCTTCTTTATTGTTCAACTGTCTTTGTCATTGTGAAGATTCTAAAGGGCAGGACCTATCACTCTGGTTCAGTGCATTTGAAGCTTAATTGCTACAGAGTTTAAATTAAAAAAAAGAAAAATTGACATCTACGTCAATCCCCTTTTCTTTAATCCTCATTCAGTTTTGAATACTTTACTAAATGGTTGTGGTGTATTATTTAACTTTGGGGAGCATGACATTTTTAGTCTTTATACTGTAGCTTATTTATCATCTCCTTTACTCTTTTAAAAAATACTCAGAATGTCACGATATTAGTCCCCCCTCCTTAAGGGTGCTCCAGCCCTTTCACTTAAGACTTCATTCTCTGCACCTGTTTCCCATTCCCTGCCCACCTTAAAAGCCAGGCGCTGACGCTCTTCCGTGCTCTACATCTGATTTCCATATCGTGCGAGTCCGGGACCTGGAAGCGCCTGGTCCCGTTAAGGTTTTAACCTCCGTTCCCGTTCCCTGTCCGCCGGTTCCGACCCGGCCTTCGTGGTTTTTAACTCTTGCTCTGATGGATCTCCTGGTTTTGGACTTACCCTTGTGTTTTGGATACTCTAAGGATTACTCTCTCGGATTGTTCGCCTCGGCCACACCTCCCCCGTCCACCAGCGCACCTTGAACACGCCCCCCTGTATTCAGCCCCGTTTTCCTGCATGACTTTTCCCTAGTGTTTCCCCACTCCGTCGGAATGTGTCGTCCACATAGGGTCCGGAAAGAACTGTTCGTTACACATAACATGTAGATTTTCACATGGTCCTCTTACTTCAGTTAATTACATTGTTTCAGGTATTCTGAAAGCTGTCTGCAGCCTTCGGACTGAGAGGAAAATGTGTGCTCCATTAGAAAGGGTAATGGTTTCCTAAGCACAACTGAAGTACACTGTCAACAACATTGTATTAACTGATATATTTCACTTGTAAAGCATTGTCGTAAAAGCTCCTTTAATTTCAACTGTGTACACAAATGCATATCTTTATTCTAATGTCAACATGATATTTGCATTCCACTCCATTTTTCAGTGTCTTTCAAACATAGACTTGTGATCTGAAAAAACCCTTGGTTCCCAAAGACACCCATCGTGATTCACATTTCTATCTGTGCTGTTAATGATGCTCAAAACCATGGCAACAGCATGCTGTAATCAGAGAAAAATTCTTTTTGTCTATTTTTTTGACTGAACAGACTAGCAGCATCAGCTTTATTGACAGCCTGCTGCAGCTTTTTTATATACAGTATATACTGATCACTAAATTGGCTTATACCTGCCCTTGACAAGAAAGATAATGCTCCTTTGTATGGTTTGCCAGTATCTTTTAATATTTTTACTAATTTCTGGAAATTGTTGTCAATCACTATTACAATTACTATTACTTTGGTAAATATATAGTATATAATGCTCAGCTTTAACTCTCTGTTGTCTAAGTGCACTGTTTTTGCATGGCTAAAGTAAATAAGCACTGTGGGATATTATGACTATACTGTGGCATGTGAACTTCAAAAACCTAAATTGTCTTTATGTATTCATTCATTACTTGTTCTGTATTTTACTCTGATTTAAAATTTGGAATTGTATACCAGAATATTGATAGTTACAGTATTGACAAAAGTCATGAAGGTGAACCAAGTGAGACACCTTGGCCACAGAGAAAGTATCAATGACTGGGTTTTATAAGTGAAAGTACAGTATATGATAATTTGAACATGAGAAGCAATTCACTCAGAATTAAACTTTTCAATATGTATCATGATATATTTTCATTTCCCCATTCCTTGTTAAAATACTATATGTACATCTTATAAGACTACACAAAATCACAACAATTATACACAAAGAATAAATTGTACCATTGTCAAATATAAGGACATCAACACTATAACTAATGTTAGTAGTAGTGCATTATATTAGTTTATTAGTTTTAGTAGAGTACATTGTACCATAGTATACTTATTAGTAATTGTGCTGTTAGTCTAATTTAAATTTATTAATTCTTATTGCATTATATCTAACAGGAACAATACCTTTTTGGTAGCATTTGTGAAAGGATGCACCACACGCACCTTGTACTAATCCATTATCCCTGTGGCTTCCACAAGAATGTTCAATAGACATTTCCTCCTCGCAGGGCTGCAGTGCTTTATCAGTTTCTATATTGATTTCTGTTGAACAAGGACAAACTGAAACATAAGCTCCATTGCTTAAAAAAGTTTTATGTTATCCACACAGAATCATTGCTCTGTGTTATTCTATAGCATGCTATACAAATGAGCCATGTTTGCATTTTTTTCTACTATTAAGAGACCAAAGTTACCTATTAACCCTTCATTTCTCAGTCCTCCTTCACAAAAATACAATTACCAATTTTACAAAATACCCTCTTTTATGCATATTTTAAAAATGTCAGAAATGGAAAAATTGCTTAATAATGTGCTGCATGGAATATCTTACTGAAAATCATTATTGAAATGGTCATTGAATGCATGACGTTTTATAAGACTCCACTTTAAAAGTGCATGGTTACATTAACATAGGCTGCCCAGACAACAACGAACAAACCTGATAACATCAAGCCCAAATTAAAATACTGGTTTCTTCTTATTGTTATTATTGAAAATTTTAAACTGTTTATCTTCTAGATAACAAAGGCCTTTGCAATTCTTTCAGGATACTTGCTTTTTATGTTTAGGTGCTTAACTAGATTATTTCCCTTTAGGAATTTCAACAGACCTAAAGGTTGTTCCATTTTGAAGTGTATCAGTTGTTTAAATGTTGCTGAGAAAATAGAGCAGATTCCCTTTGAAATGCATGCCCCTTACCCTAACCCTAATCACCCTGAAACACAGAAAGACCAACAGGAAGTTACCTGTATAAAAGAGATATTGTTGCTCTCAGTCCAAAGAAGAGTGGGACAGCCTTACAGGAATGTCCTTCACTGACAGGCTAAAAGAACTGAGTTATTATAGTTTTGAACAGAGGAGACTTGATTACGGTATTTAGAATCCTCTGAAGTACTTTCAATATGAAAAACATTACTAAGAATTTAATAATACATTAATTACATTACATTTATCTTATAGTTTATTCTGCGTTTGAAACTACATATTCAAATAATGCATTTGGATAGCAGTCATGCTTTGAAAAGTCATGGTTGATTCTATCCCTAGACAATATTTTAATTCTGCTGAAATATATCCCAGTCTGTCACACTTTTCATCAAGATGGGTTATAAAATGCACTATTGGGATTTTATAATTTCAGTTTTAGTCATTTCAATTGGGAGTTTCAGATGCATACCTACTAGGATTGCTATGTAGTCTAGAAAGATATTCCTGACTGTTCTTAGCTGTATGCTTACATTGTACTGTAGTATACTGCTGAAAACACAATGATTTCATTATTTTTTCTAAATTTACAAACCCAAAATACCTTGAAATGTGAATCAATACTGGTTCAATACTAGTATTTGAATGCATTCGTTTTTTTTTTCTGACTCTTAACCTTTTCAAAACTTCCATAAACATTTTTTATATGCACAGATCTGATAATTACTGTATAACAATATATAATAATAAACCTAGTTTTTACCATTTGTAAAACTCTATAGTCAATTCATTCATTCATTTTCTAATCCTTATCCAGTACAGAGTCACAGGAAAGCTGTAGCCTTTCCCAGCAAACAAAAGGGGACAAAACTTGGTGAGATGCCAATCTGTTAAAGGGCACACACACTCACACCTGGGGCAAGTTTTCTCAGTAGTCTTTAACCTAGCAGTAGGTCTTTGCACTGTGGAAGGGAACCAAAGCACATGGAGGAAACCCATGCAAACATGGGAAAAACATACAAACTCTATATAGATAGCACCCCAGGTCCAGAATTGAACTCAGAGCCCCAGTGCTGTGAGGCTGCAATACTAACTGCTGTGCCTCAATGCAGCACCAAAATGATAAGTCTTTGTAGTGAAAAATAATAAACAATCTAAAATTAGGTAAAACAAATTTATGATACAGCTGGAGCCAACCACAGACCTGAAGATAAAATCAAACTGTCCTACCTGTTTGTCTAGATAAAGAGTCCGGAATCAGTTATCAGTTCTGAAGAAAATACACTTACACAATACAAGTATGCGCACAAGAACAAAGGATGCTCTGTTACCTAAACTGTTTCTTTATTGCTGAAGCCTGGGGAATGATTTGTGCAGGTGTTCAGGGGTGTGTTCAGAGCACTCACATTACATGAAAAGCACTCAGAGGGCGGACTATTCATTATTTCATTACCGATTGTCACTAGATTCTCACTCAAAATGGTTAACGACCGAGTAGCACAAGAACAGGGAGATTCCAAAGCAGTTGCCCATTGCAGATGACTGCCCAGCTTGATGTACAAGCTTGTGTTTCCTTGAAACTAATTTATTCCTCTCATGGAAAATACCCATCATGACAAAGAAAACCTAACATGTCTTTCTATTATTACATTATGTTCATAAATGGCAAATTAACATTTGTTTTTTTCCATCCACTACAGGAGGCAGCTTTTGTGATTTAACTTACTACAACCTATAAATTAACAAACAGAACATATGTTACAAATATGTACATACAATGCATTTTTTAAATGTATATAGTTAATTCTATCACTTGTGTGTTCTGTAAATCTCTCTTTGTTCACAATAAACAACAATAAAATCATCTGTGCTCACACAGTGTACATGAAGTCTGTTTAACACTGGCTTTAACATACGTTCCTTGCAGGAGTTTGGTATTTCCAGAATGAGAAAAAAAGATGATTAGCCACCTCTTATGCATTGATGATCTTCTTCTGATGATTTCAGCACAGGCGATAACCTTTTTTCTGACTATGACTAAGACCCAATCAAATATTTCAGTAATGTGTGCTTCCAGTAAGTCTCAGAGAAGTCAAAGCTAGTAAGCAAGATGCTATTCATTTAATTACATTCTAAGAGCCTTGTAGAACAAAATGTGCCTGTTACTCAAAAACACGTCACAGATTTGATGAAGTATTAAAAAGGAATTCAAGCACAGTCCTCTTCCTATGATAATGCAAGGTTAAGTGAAATAAGATGTTAACCTAAGACTAACTACTTAGATGTCAATGACTGGTAAGTTAGAACTGATTCAGAGTAGTCATTTACAACTGATGCAGAAAGAAAGGCAAACACATGGAAGAGCAACTGGTAATATCACATCTTTGCTAAATAAAACCTAGTTAAGTTTTAATTTTGCCAGTCACTAATTTAAAATAATGTTTTTGCTTTTTTCCCTTTTTTGAATGTTGAAATTTATATGCATATGAGACCTCACACATATCATTCAAAACATAACTGAACAAAGCTGATACCTTCATACTACATACAATAGTTCTTCATATTATGAAGCACAGATATAATACTAATGAATAATATATCCTAAAAGTTAAAATAATTCTAAATAATTTCTACTTTGGAATAATAACACCTCAAATGTTTTGAAAGTTTGTGGCAAAATATTTGAAAATTGCATTCTCTTAGAAAAAAACTCTTTATAAGACACAGACAGCAAATGAAATGCAAAGGAGAGTGCTGTGAGAGTGGTTTGCAATATCAAACTACATAACTTTAAGAACCTACTTAGAATGAGAGAGGTCAAGATGTGTTTTCTGCCTTAAAATAACAGTCAGAAAACACTTTGACCACTCGGATCTCTTTATAAGAACTCTGTTTCTTTGTATAGCTGTACACCACTTCTTTAAAATTCTAGAAAATCATTCTTGATTTTCTCTTCCTCAGCTGTACAAAATACCATTTTGATAAAATCTAAGCTTGAATGACTGAAAAAGGATGCCTACTCCACACAAAAACAAGGAACCATTAAAACAGTAAGCTACTGCAGTCATCCAAAACAGACCACTTTGGATGCTTTCCTTCCTAAGTAAGGGAATCTCTCATCTTCACAAAAGGCAATGACTGTTTCCTTTCCAAGGAAAAGCCATCCAAACCATTACCCATGTTAAGTACTAAAGTGCTCTCTAAGATACTGAGGGACATGTGGAGACGTTTGTGACCTTGAAAGTGATTTATTGATCAGCCAGCACTCATTTGAACACAGGGAAAACTGAAACCTGTCCTCCTGAATCATTAATAAGGATGCTTCTATTGCACTCCTGTGTACCTCCTTTGCCCTCTGAACGGACCTAAGCCCACACACCCTAACGTTACTAATGCAAAAAAGCAGGCCTCATTCTCTCACATATTGTTAAATTATTGTCTGAAAAATGTTAAACAGATTCATAATGGATACAAATGGTAGGACAAATTAAAAAAGTACAACTGCCTCAAAACCAAAAACTGAAGCTTGGAGACAGAGAACTAGGAATGCCCCCAAAATCTAATATTTTAAGAAAAAATTATGTTTGACCTACAGCCTTCAAGAGCAAATGCATATTGATTTAAAGTGAAGTAAGTTGCACTGTTAAAAATAGAAAAGATTCCAAAGTTTACATAGATTTTTTTTTAACAGAGATGCCGTGTTCAAATAATTTAGCACACCATTCTCCCTGTAAGTAAATTAAGAAGGAATAAATCCACTAGTTCAAGGTGAAAATTCTTAGTGCTGGTGAAATCTAATCCAGATTGCTTTACACAGCCACAACAAAAAGAGTGCTTGGCTCTAATAGGATTGTGGGCTTCTGCTGATAGAATTGATAAGTAGCCTGTATAGACATGCATTTAAAAATAGAACAGATGTCCTACTAAAATCTTAGTTTTCACTTATATATTTAGCAAAGCCAATCTGTTAACTTTACATCAACAAAAAAAATTCTGAAAATCAATCAGGGATGACAGTGTTAGCCTGATAAATATCTTAAGAAAACAACACCTAACCACATTGTAAATGCACATTTAAATTATAACCATATATGTATTACAGTACATAACCATTTTAAAGCAAGCAATAAAACATTCAATTTGATTTTTATTTATGTCTAGAGCTTAAGGTTCACATATTCTCTGTGGCAAAAAGTTTCTGTTTCTAGATTAATAGTAAATATAAAGGGCTTAAATATAATATCAAAATCTGGAAAATTCGAATCGATTCATATCCATGGAAAGTTACATAAACTAATGAGGACCATAAAAAGAGACTTAAATACATTAAATAAATGTATGGTATAGGTACTATTTTATCAGTGCAAAACAAAACCAATGCATCCTGTATTTAATTCTTTAGGAGTTGTTCATATTAGTAATTTATACATATTTAAAGACAGACAATATAGGCAATACCATATTATACTAGCAGAGCTAATTTAGCAGAAAAACAAGCTCTATAACATTTTCACTTGACAAATAACAGAACAAGAAAGTATCTCTCTTTTTGTACAGTTTAATTATTTAAAACTACAGCCATCAGCACGAGCCTTTATATAATGAAGTGGCTTTGGATAAGAAATCAATGGAATTCTATAATTATATCTTTGGTCTTATACATTACCAGGTTAATGAGTGGCCTCATGTAAAACCAAAATATTAAAATATGTTTGCTTCCCATGAACAAACAATTTTGTATCCATCATAAAAACCCAGCCTCTGCTATGTACTGTGCATCAAATTTCATCATAAGATCACATCTGCATACTCAATGGAATCATCTTTAATATACTTGTAATATTTTATTACATAGAAGGTAAAAATAGTGATAACGTGGAGAATAAACATCTATTACAATGAGTGAGGACAAACACTGGAAAACGTAAAGTGAACTTTATCTTAAAAGGCTGTTAATTTCCTTATTATTGGTAGTTCTGAAAGAGGTACTGAAATCCTTACTACTGTACATACAATACGCCCTTTAAAAATAAACCATTTTGAAAAAGATACTGTAAATATTATGCTCCCTATCATAAAAGGTTTCAAAAGAGTTTTAAAATTCTTAAAATTTTTCCCCTAATCACATATAAATAGAAAATGAATCAGTCACAACAATCACTGAATCCAGATGCAAAACTAGTATTTAAAAAATTAAGTATTATATACACAAGACCTAAGATAATGTGCAAAATTAAGTAATTCTGGTCCCTAGTGTGCATATTAAATCTACAACCAGCAGCAACTCACAGCATAACTCCAAATATGCCTGGAACCATACAGACTGGTGTGTTTAAGGTCATGAACTTCACTGTGACATTGCATGATCTCTAAATCTATGAATGTTATTTTTCCTCTTTGTCAGTAAACTAAAACAGATATCCACATAAACAATGTTCACAGTTTAGCTGGACATGTAAATAACTAAAAGACACAAGGGACAGTTTAGAACTGTTCATAAATATCACAAAATATAGAACTTCAGCAGGGTTATACCCAGAATTATCATAGTGCTGGAACTGGAACATGTGCGGCTCACAGACAAATATGGCTTCCCCGGTTTTCTGACACCAAGCGACTTCACAGCACCATATTTCATTCAACTGACGATGAACAATATTTGCTAAAGTACATAAACCTTTATCAAGATGCCACCAAGTAATTCACAGTTTTTCTGAGTGTATTCATAGCAGCCTGTGGACTTGAAGTAAATGTCACTGACTACCAAGGTACTAAATTTCACCTCCAGAACACAGAAGGACATTTATGAAGTACTACATTGTAATTCCAAAAGGTGTATTTATAATTGTGCCTTCATAGTTTAGATACCATGTTAGGAAAAATAAAAAGTCAGTTGCAAGAATCAAATAATCCCCTTTTTATGTAAAAAACTAGGATCTATCAGGTACACTCAGCTCATTTTATAAAGCTTGCCCATTTTAAAATCTAAGCTTTGAAGAAAACCCAACATCAAAGAGTTTAGAAAATTGGCCTACCCTTGATCCCGAATTTGGAGTTCCTTCCGAATTTAAGGATGATCAACATCAGTACAAATCCTGTGAAGGCTACTGCTGCAATTCCCACTACAACATACACCTGAAAAAAAAACATTAAAGATATGAGCACTTTAATTCTTCTCTCTTTTAATTCTTCTCTCTCTTCCACACACATTGATGAAATTCTAAAACTTCAATGCGAAAAAGCTGAAAGAATTGCCTTTCATGTAAAACAAATGTAATGAAATGGCTGTGGTAATGTATCACATATACACATTTTAATAATAGTTTTTAAAAACTAGAAACTCTTGAGGAGTACAGTATATAAAGGAAGGTGTTTACATGGATGGATGGGATCTGTAAATTGTAATGGAGGTTCAACCATTATTATTATTATTAATATTAAAATTAAAACTTATACTTACAGCAACACTATCCTCATTTACTTCTGAATCCATTGGCGTGGTATAATCTACTTAGAAAAACAACATGAAAAGGCATGGTTATTTTTCCAACACAGAAAAAAATGTTTTCAACATCATAGTTTAAGATACCTTTGGAATCCTTCTCTGGAAAGTTATAATTATATTGTGAAACTTGTGACTAGTCTTTAAAGCTGAACACAACAAGGACATGCATGAGTTCTTTGCAGTTATGCAGCAAAAAACGGTTATTATTTCAGAGTGGAACAAGACATGTTCCAATTTGAATTTCAGTATCGCAGCCAGGTCTTAATTAATGCAATATATAGAGATTAAACGAATTAAAGGTTTACTTTTGTGTGAGTCGCCTGGCAGAAAGAAATGTAGTTTGCCTTTGAGAACTAGGCTAACAGAACCCTCCCTCCTGTGACAAGGAATGAGCCAAGGAGCTGCTGCGAGAGTGAAGATGGGGTGGAAGGAGCAGTGTGAGAAAGAAGCACAAAGGGGGTGCTCAGCAGGCAGATATTTATGAGTATAAAGGCAGGGGTGGAGTGCATTGGAATTTGCCTTCTTCCCAAACTTCTGTCTAAAAACACCATAGGCCATGTTTTGACTCAAGAAGGCACATCTGTATCCTGCTTACACTGTCATCCCTTTTTTATTTTTTTTTCTCGTGTCAGGTATAATCCTGGGCATCATGTTTTGTTGTTATAATTTCACGACTTTGTAATGAGAACTCGAAAACTTCTATGATGTTTCTCCTTATCTTTAAATTGTTCAAAGGGGGGTTTCCTTCTAAAACTTCCACCTAATGAAATCAAGAATGAAAGAGGAGATAAGTAAGAGACATGCAAGGTAAAATCTATTCCATAGATTTCCTCTGTGATTTATTTTCAGAAAAAGCAATTATAAAAATAATAAATATTTGTAACTATCCATAATTAAATTACTAATCACAGATGGAACCAGACAATATGTGTCATTAAACTTTTCAAGAGACATTTGTGAGCTTAAAGAAGCTCTACACGCGCTTAATTTCATCTAAAGAATGTGAAATCTTCTCCCTTTCTAGAGGACAATGGTAACAGCTGCCCTGCTGGCAATTATTAGTTTAAAATTATGTGGTTAATTTTTGGAAGAATGAGGGGATAAATGTATTTTAGTCAAATATAAAGAAGTTATTAAATTTGTTCTCTACACTGCACATAATAGTCCATTTTTACTAGTGATCCTGATCTAAGACTCTTAAGTCAAACGTAGATCTGGCATGCTGCAAACTTCACTTTGAAGTGCTCTCCTAAAGCCTAAAAGCAGGGCACTAGGGTCCTATAATCTCTCTTACTAGGAAACTAGGAAAGGTCAACATGATACATCATGGTCTGATAAATGAATACAGCATTTGATTTTATATAACAAACCGTAATATTTGAGCACATTTTTCAACTTCAGCATTCTGATATTTTTTTATGATTCAGCTACATGGGCTGAAACTTTATTAGCCTCTACAGTAATTGCACATTACAAGCCCATCACTTGATGACCAATTTCCATTGGCTAAAGCCAACAGACAGCTGTTAACACACACTAAATTTCTAATTTGAGAGCTGAATTATTTAATTTAATTAGGTCTGGTGGAACCAAAAAGCAACCAATAAGTACACTTCCATTCTCAAGGTTCAGAGACAATTTTCAAAAGCCTTTTGGGTTGAATTGGGGAGAGAATATGTATGGATCCGAACATTTTCAGAAATGGATAAACACCAAAATCACCAGAGTCCAACCACTCTTGAACTAAGAACAGGTAGTTCAATATTTATATACTGTATGAGCAATATGCTTCATGGTGGTTTCTTAAAGGCGTCTTTCTGTCCAAACGTCATTTGTGATTAAGAAAAGAGTTTGTAATGTACAATATGACTGGCAAACAGGTGAAATGATATGATTTGGTTCAGGCAAAATCTGATGTTGCACTAAGCCCTATTCCCTTTACAGTATTTTTAGCCTTTGGGCAAAATAGTACCTCTCTATGAGATTATATCGTGTCCACTGTGCTATTGACTTAGTTGATTATCCATCCATTTTCTAACAGCTTCTTTAAATTTAGGGTCATGTCGGAAGCAGAGCCTATCCTGGCAAGCAATGGGCGTAAGGCAGGGTACAGCCTGGAAGGGAGGCCAGTCCATCACAGGACAGACAGACAGACAGACAGAAGCCAATTAATCTACTAGTATGCCTTCTGACTTTGTGGGGAGACCAGGGCACTCAGAGGAAACCCACATGAACACAGGGAGAACATACAAACTCCATGGAGATAGCAACCCAGGTCCAAAACTGAACACATACCTGTATCCCCAGTGCTGCAAGGCAGTAATGCTAACCACTGTTTCACCTTACCACCCTAGAATATTATATACACCATTATATGATTAAACACCAAAGTACTGCACCACAAACTAGAATAGAAACAAAAGAGGAAAAAGAACTGATTTACAGCAAACTGCCAGTATGTACAAAGGAAAAAGGATGACATCATTCAGACCACTGTCCATACTATTTCATTCTTATAGTCTTATGTTTCATTCTTATTCTTACCAGTGGCCCTAACTGTTCCTTTAATGCAAAAATGTTAAAAAATGAAAACATATCAGTGATATCTTCAAAACACATTCACATTTTGTCTTCAAACACAAATAATTAGTTCATCTCAAAGTTGTATAACTTTCCTGGACTAGCTTCCATGTAATTTCTGTCACAAAATGCTTTATTATATCACACAAAAACAGAAGCATTCGATCATCTTAAATCAAAGTTAGCAAGCTTTTCATCTTGCATTTACTCATGTGCTAAGAACACTTGGGAATTATAAAAAAAAAATACGCAGAAAAAATGGGCATTGTTTGGATGAAGGATGTGACTGATGGTGCATAATGGCTGCTTTTCATTGGTGGAAGACTGGGTCATACTCCTTCTGGATGAAAAGCACTATAATGCATGGATATTAATTATTAATTAATTGGCTATCCATGTAAAAACAAGGCAGTTTTTTTTGTGGGGGGGAGTTATTCCAAAACATTGCAAAACAGGTACTATAAACACAAAATAACCTTTGCTTATGTTAAACTATATTAGCTATTAATGCGCGAGAAATGGCTAGAAATGTTTCCCTTTTTCATCAAATCATCCCACCATCTATTATTTTTAATTGACAGCCTCCTGAGAAAAGTCTGCAAGATTTTTTAAAAAGAGGTCCCAGACTGTGACTAACAAAACTAGAACTTTTTGTACAAAGTAAAATGATTCTATCTTTTAGGTTTGCATCAGGATCACCACAGTTAAACAAAAGCGTGTACTTGATTTACTCCTGTCATAGATTCAGCACTGTGACAAATAACATTGCTGACCCCTGCTGTAGTACAGTAGAGCTGTAGTGTAGAATTGAGATCATATATCTATGTCATCTGACAATCCATTACTGACAGCTATGTTGTTTAATATGTAGTATCTCACAATGATTTTATACATCTGTTTAATGTCTGTATTGTAGAGCTACACTTACTGTACATATTTCTGTCATTTTACCACTAGAATTCAGTAGCTTGCATTTTTTTAAGGGATTCTGTCATTTTTATGTGGCAAAGACCCTCAAAGAATTGACTGATATCTGTCAGAATTATGACACGTAATTATTTGTACTTAGCACTCTGCTTTGCCTAAACACACTCACACATCATCAGTTCAATGTGAATGAGGTTTTGCCATCTCTAACTCAATTTACACCCTGGTTAATTGGATGGTACAGAATAGATCACTCACATTTCCCAAGTAACTCAAGTACTACTATTGTATAAAACAGGCTCCTTACAAATTTGCTCTATTATTTTTATATAAAATATATTATTTCAACCTGACATCACTAGCGTTTAGATGCCAAAAGGAAAACTGCCTCAACACCTGTAAGTTCTAATATGTCTGTCAATACCAACGAGTCATCAAGTCCTATGTAAGTAGGAAAAAATTCTCATTGTTAGATTTGGATTCGTTTGCACAAGCCTTAGGCATTCTCAAACCATAACAAAAAAGCTAATTCATTTGTAAGCAGCTCAGCAAGGGACAAAAAATAAACAACAGCTCAGCACACTATTTCTGTAGTATGAATATTATCAACCTATTGACAGAAGGTGTTCAGATGTTCCCCTACAAGACCAGGTTTCATACTAAATAATCAAGTAATATTTATTGAATTTCTCACAGCTCTCAGCAGAGTGGTTCCTGAGAACTTGGTAGGTTGAATGCATTTTCTTCTCAAGATACCTAAGGGTCTTTGTAACTGCTTGGGCCACAGTGCATCTACAGGAGCTCTTCAACAAGTCAGGAGCCATCTAAAGCTGTTGCCAGTTTGATTATTGAGACTCAAGAGCAACACACTTGTTGTGAACCACCCCACTTGTTCGATTTGTTGGACTTAACAAGTGGTTTGTAAATGTTGCTGGATTTGTATACGTGCCTGAAATGCCTAAGAAGGCTGATGTTGCTGAGCAACAATTGTTCATTATCTATTGTGTAACAATTCTACATGGCAACAACATGTGACATGATGAATAGCTATTGAGGAGTGTAAATTCTAACTTTAAAAAAAAAGATTTTGTAGACACTTTTGAAGACAAAATGGGCTTAAAAATTACTTCAGAATGTTTTATTTTCCACATTATAATATGGACATTATAATCATTATCAATTATCCTTCTTATTTTATTTCCATAAACTGACTTTCCAAATAACCCAACCTAAAACAAAATCAGTATTAGGTATTAAAACACTCCACACCCTTCTATTTTTTTTTTTCAAATTAACATCTGAATTCTGCATGCATTTTAGCCTTTTGATGGCAGCTGCCTGTGTTCTGGGATTTTCAAATATAGAAAGCTACTGTACCATCATGTATTGTGGTAGAAAGATTGGCGCTCACATACTGTACAATCTCCATGCAGAGATGGCACCCCAGGTCCAGAATAGAACCCAGGTCCCCAGTGCTACAAGGCAGCCATGCTGATCACTGCACCACCATACCACCCTAGCTGAATGGTCCAAAACTCTGATCTAATTTGCGCCTAAGGGATCTTCCTTTATTATGCAGAACGGGAATTAATTGACACAAGACCTCTAATGAGGTATCTCATTAGAGCAGGTTTACTTTCTTGGCTCTCAGTAAACTACTCGTATAGAAAAGGCATAGTTAAATAACCAAAAGAACAGTCATAAAGCAAAATACATCCTATGGGATTGCAAAAAAAACCTTTGTTGGCCCTGAAAATATTTTGGGTGTGCAGAACACACTGCATCACAGAATCACTGGGATCTTTATAGAAATTAACACACCTGTAATTACATGAAAAGTTTAAGGGGAAAAAAAGACATAACAGAATTGCAAGCAATTTATGGTGCCTCCGGCATATGCACTCACATAGTACATACTGTACAGTATATATTTATAAAAAGTGCATATAAACACATTTTGACAAGTTAGCTCTGATCCCTGATTTTGGGAATTGGGGTCAAATTTTCTCTGCTCATTTCCTGATGTTAATAATTTGTTGGAAAAATGCCTAGAGGAAAATGCCATGACTCAGTATGTCGAACAATGAATGTATTTCACTAAGTATCAGGACAGAAACCAGATATACTTTTGACTAAGCATGCAGAAACATTTTATACAATATATGCTAGGTAAGATCGGGTAGTCCGCATGTCTGAATGGTTGAATAATGATTGACTGAACTGGTCAGGAGAGTTAAAGCTTTTTTGGGGGGAGGGGGATTTCTGATTGCTAATTATACTTTATGCACAAACGTAACGCCTGAGGGGAAATAATACCAAGAGAATATCAGAGTTAAATGAAATTATGAGGGTTAGGGATGTATGTTAAAACAACTGCATTTGTTGATTAGATTGACATAAAGTGCATGCTTTCTATGAAAAAGTCTTGAATAGTACAGTACATCCTAAAGTACATGTCTTCTTTATGAAATGCTATTTAAAAGGAATGCTTATACTATATAATGCTAAGCTACTTTGAACTGGATGATACCATTTTGATACTCTTCTAGTTAAATCAATACCTATGACAACCTACCATTGTAACATCCATTACAATGGATTCTAGTTAAATCCAAATTGTGAACAGGCTTTCTACAAGCTCACAGTCATGAAGCTGAAGTACAGTAGTTATGCAAGTAGCAAAACTAACTCATTCAGCAGCAGAGCACATCAATAATGGAGAAGTGCACGCTCTCTCTTTATAAAAAATAAAATCACATACATAGAGTAACAAAATAACAGTGTTTCAAATAAAAGCCATCTCCCAAGTCAACATCTAGCACCTAATTTTGACAATGTCAGTGATTTGCACCCTTTATATTGATTTATCAGAATCTGCACTTGATACGTTTCCTTCATTTAATTAAGACATTTCTAAATGTTTTAGCAGAGAATTGTTTAGCCAAGCAAATTTCTAGCAGATAAATGTTTTATCTACTAAAAGAATGTTAAGAATATTCTGTGTGTGGCGCAACCTCTGTTTTTTCAATCTGTATCAAAGCAGGATTTTATTCAAATTAGTGCTTTAAAATCAGAGCTTACAGGTAATTGATCTTTAATCACTCAGCTTATCAGGATTACATAATATGTCCATACTCCCAAACTCTTTAATAAAGTATTATTTCTCTGTTGCCATACACAAGCTTTACTGACAAAATAACACATTACACAATAGAAATACCTCTAGTTATATAAGCTTAGCTTGTGCTGTCCAATGTTTATTATTCTATCTTCATCTACACAGGCTGTATATGAAATTTATCCATTCTCTCTATTTATAAATCACATTGCATTGAAGAATATCTGGTGCATAAAATGAATTAAGACATGGGCATTCCTTGTGATATTATATTTTTTAAAAGCACAAGAATCTAGGGAATTATTATGACCTACTCATAAGGACATTTTGGTAACTATTATTAGGTGTAGCATAACAGTCTTGAATATGCTCTGTCTTCAGAGTAACGTAGATAAAACCTACAGTATATTCAGCAGCACAACATGCAATTTCAAAACACGGATGTATTGATATTTGTTGTACTGTCTGACATTTTCCTTTTGATTTATTTTTGGAAATTAAGATGGAAATTGTCCCAGAAGAAGCACTGCAAAGAATGATAAAGTTCAGATATGATTAAAGGAAATCAAAGAAAGTGCTGAGTATCACAATATGTCTAATACCAATGTAAGCACATTGGGGGAGGTTACATTATCCCTTTTATTTAGACTCTTAAAAAAGTATTACCAAAACCTTGTATTGAATTCTCCTAAATTGTTGAAGTTGAGATGAAATTTGGTATGGACTTACTGATGAATGTCCTACATATTTTTAAATGGTTTAGGAATTAGGAAGGATAAATGGTTGCTAATTTTGCATATTAAAAATGTCATGTAAGATAATTCATTCATTTATGTGTGGTATTCAGATGCTAGTTTGTATCTGGTTCAATTATCTGCAGACTTAAAAGTTCAACACAGGACAGCATGGGGGTTACAGTGGTTAGCACATTGAATCCTGGGTTCAATTTCACACCTGGGGTGCTATCTTCATTGAGTTTGTATGCTCTCCTTGTTTTTGAGTGGGTTTCCTTTGGGTGTTCCGGATTCTTCCCACAGACCAAAAATGTCCAAGTACAGTAGGTTAATTAGGTTTCTGGCAAAATTAGCCCTAGGAGTGATGCATGTTTGCATTTGTGTCTGTGTGTCTGTCCGTGATGGACTGGCGTCCCATCCAAGTTTTACCCTGCCTTGAGCCAGTTACTTGCTGAAATAGGTCTCCCAGCTCCCCCACAACCCTCATTGGAAGAAGCGGATAGAAAATAGATGGATGGAAGTTCAATATAAACTGTAGCCATGTGTGTTGTACATAGATGTCAACATGTTTGCCTTTTTTTTCTTGCTACAATATAAAACGTACTATTTTTGTTAAATCCAATTTTGTTTCTCCTCATTGAGACTCAACACACTATTTGATGGGGAGGTTTTTCATACTTGGCAAGAGAGGCCTGGCAAAATATTAGTTTCTGTAGCTTCTAACTGATTACACAATATGACCATGGAGGAAAAGATGGTACAAGGTAAAAATATTTTTCATAATATTTTATGTCCATTTGGCTCAATACAGAAATTTAAACATTCTTTACTTTCGGCTTCCATTGCCAGTTTACCACTAACAAAGCACACATAAGAATAAGGGGAGCAGGTCTGGATGACATTTCCTTGGTTTCCTGGGCTCAATTCTGGATTGTCACCTTCTGTGAGGACTTTGCGTGTTCTCCCACATGTTCATATGGGGTTTCTATGAGTGCCCCACTTTCCTTCCACTTTCTAAAAACAGGCTGACTAGGTAAACTGCCATATATAAAACTACCTGTGTGTTATGTGTGCTCGATAAAAGGACTATGTCCTATCAAGGGTGTTGTCCCAGCTTGCGTTATGCACATCTACTGTAGAATAGGCTCCAGACAGGAACTCCACAACCTTTACTACCATGGAATAAACAGTTTTCTGATAACTAATGGAAAGACAAAGAAACAAATATGATACGATCTACAGTATGCAGACCCTGAGTTACATTTAGTTAAGCAAATGGATAACACAATTTGGTATATTCCTTTTCTTTGAAAATAAAAATGCCTTTGGCAGGGTTTGTGGACGTAGATCCCAAGGTGCTAACACCTCCACACTTGAAGTACTTATCAAAGATGGCACTATTGTTGAAGATTTGAAGCAGGCAATTTAATTTAAATTAAAACAATGACCCCAGAACCTCCATATTTTAGTAAAGAGAACATGCTGTATATGATACAGATAATTCACAGTAATAAAATGTCAGTTTGCAATTTTCTCAAAACTTGAAGAGACACCTTCAGCACCATGGAGAGAGTCTATTCTGCTTTGTAAGCAGAACCTCATATGGTTAAGCCTAGTTGCTTCAAAAAAAATTCCACCTACTCTAGTTTTTCAGCCCAAAACAAACCTGAGTTTCAATAATGATCAGGGAAAACGGAAAATTATGCATTTCGCTACCAAAAAAACTTGACATCTGCTGCAGGTACTGAAATAAACAAATTGTATTGTAAAAAATAAAACTTTTTTCTAATAGAATTATTAGAAAGCATGACATGACAGTTTTAATTAACTGGTTTTCAGTGTCTTTGGGTAAGGGAGTTATTTGCTCATTTTCATTTTCCTTTTTTATAAAACTTTAAAGGTTTACTTTTTTCTAAACCAAGTGCCTTGGTTACTCTATTAGCTAAATACAAGTATTAAAAAAGAAACCTACCATAGTAAACAGGATCTGTACTAGATTCCCCTGTAAAAAAAGTAAAAAAGCATTGTTTAATATGGTTTCACAACATAAAAGTGCAAGAAAATACTCTCACAAATAAACACAAACAATAAATATATCACACACAACCCGACATTTTCAATTTGTTTGAACTGTCATAGTTAGAAATCCTAAGCAGACTACTAGCTTTTTCTTCTTTTAAATATCTGTATCGTGAATCAATTTGAAGAAATAAACAATCATTTGTCACTTATTTAACTCGTAATGTCATCATTGTGTTCAAACCAGTCTTATTGTAAGTTACAAGTGTAAATCATATCCTCACAAGAATCAATTCAACCTAGTTTTTTGCCTCCATAAAACTAGTACTTATGGGCACAATCACAGCCATAATTTGTTTTATTTTGTTAGGGACATTAAAATAATCTTGGGACACATTTAATAAAACTTATTTCACTTAGTCTGTACCATACAATTTCACTCTAAGACAAATAAAATATCTCATTTTTATTCTAGCATAACTTTTATTCTATTGCAGCTTAATTTTTCCACCTAGCCCGGTCAATGTTGGTATGATTTACTCATTCTTAACACAAAGATATTGTCTTTACGTCTAGTATTATCCACTTACATAATGACTCCTTTATTATTCTTACTTACTGGATGAAACCCAGCTTTTACTATTACTCATCCTAACCTACTGTATAATTAAGATTAAGAAAAAAATAATATTCATCCTTTTCATCTTTCAATGCTCTAGTGAAGTTAGTGAGGTTAAGGTGCATTCCTGATAGGATGTTAGTCAAGTAATAAGGGAATTGTTTGCAGTTGTGATAGATAACCTCTTAATTTTTCATTTTTGTTCTTCAAATCTAATTTTTATTATAATACAACGGAAGAGTTTAAAACTAATTATAAAAATAATCACCAGAAGTTTAAAAAGAAAACATAAAGCTGTTATATTTAAATATCTACTTTGTACCTAATGCAACATTACCGTAGTTTACTACAGAAAATCACCTGTTCACCAACATCTGTATTCACACAAGATTCTCACTAAAATAGAATAGCCATCAGTACAAGTATTACTTCTGCAATTAAGTTTGAGAAAATATACCAAAGAAATATTTTAGATAACTGCATAATAAGAAAAAAACAAAACCAAAAAGAAAAAATCATCCTAGAGCTACTAAACACAAAACAAATGTGATCAATGAAGAATAAGAAAGAAAGAGTTTGGGTCTTCCTGTCTGGAAGAAGAGAAAGGAAAAATGAGGCCAATAAACTTTCAAAGTTAGTGCCTTGAAATGACAGTTACAGACTAAAAAACAATATATGAAAATACTGTAGTAAAATTCCCAAGGAAACCATTCTGTTAAAATCATCACGTCTGGAATGTTAACCCACAATAACACACTGAGAGACCAGCTGTTGCAATATCCATTAGCATTTTGAACTAAAAACCAAAATGCATTAACTGAATGTTCTCACTACACTATCCACAACTGAACAGAGTTGATTACAACAACAATAAATCCCAGACTGCATGAACCATTGATGTGAATACATTGTAGTAGGTCTGTCAAATTCCAATTCCATACCCATAAGGGTAGCATATTAAAGTTCCAATGGAATGGAATTCCAACTTTATAAGGGTAGCACATTAAACCTTGGCATAACTCTACCGGCAGAGGTATTGACAACCTGATTGTATAGTCAAGGCTGACAAGACCCCCCCTCACATGTGAAGAATGAAATGGAGCTGATGTAAGGGTGATGACATACTGAAGGTAGGGGAGTGAGAAAAGTTGGGACCAAAATGTGTTCAGGAAGTGAGATATTTACACATAGAATAGCAGAAGTGGCTGAGATCAGATTCTGACCTCCTCTCGAAACTTCTGTTTATAAGTTATATTTTAGTCATTGATTCAAAGTTTAATTACTGTAACGAGACAATGGAATTTGTAGATCAAGGCTCACAAGACCCCCCAAAGTTATTCAATGACCAGAGCTTGTTGTGTACAAACTTCCGGTTGATTGGACAGTAGTTTCAGAGGACCACTAAGGGCTCCAAAAGATGCTGCACCAATCCATGAGTAATCTGAAGCCAACAGCTCTGTGTCTGGCTTTAGTTAGCGCAATGTGGAAGTTACAGTATGTAGGACCCAGGAGTGAGAAACTACTTCCTGATGCTTGTCGGTAAACTGATAGAATGGCGAAAAAGTGAAGGGATTAATGAGTAATGGTAGATTTGAGTTTGAAATGTTCTGCCTTGTCTGGTCCATCAGTCCTCCATGGAAGCACATTTAAAACTGAGAAGAGGAGGCACTTCTTTGCCAAAAGGTTGTGGGTGTGCGAAACAAGTTATCCAGCCATGTTGCTTAATGCAGATATCTGGCTTCTTCAAAGAAACGGCTCCATGAGATCCTTGGTTCAATAAGTTACTACCAAACAGGCCAAACTGGCCAAATGCCCTCCTCTAATTTATAGCCTGCCTTCTCTTCTCTTTTTCTGAAGGACTTCTTGTTTGGCCTTTGTTCAGTGATACTGTATTTATCGTTGGGGTAAAGTAAGGACAAGAAAGAATTTGAATACTGCAAATTTCATTTTGGGTCAGGCCTTAAATGAAAAAAAAAGTTGGACTTTTTAAAGACCCAAAAGAATAAAAGTTATAGCAAGCTTTATAGTGGTGATTTGTTCACTGCTTGGTGTCGAGTCTACATTCATTAAACTGATTCACAAGTTGGATATTTCTCAAAGTCTTTGGAAAAACTGCACACAAGGGTGCATGCAAGGCAAGATATTTAAAGGCTACAGAGCAGAAGTGGGAGACATTAGAATCTGACCTCCTCCCGAACTTCTGTTCACACATTCCAGAAGTACAGAATCCATACTTTTCACAACAGTGCAAGAAAACCCAAAGTAAAACATATCTTCCAAACAGAGTTTGAAGCCAAAGTCTTAGGTCCAGAAAAGAAAATAACTGAGAAACCAGTAGACATGATCATACATAATATTCGTAGACCTTACATTCCAATTTACAACACTGGCATAATGACAAACTGGCACAAGATGAAGTCTCAGTTTGTGCAGCCTGCAATAATAATACCACAATACTCGCAACCAGCATATTTCAGTTTCAACTGACATTTACTGTAACTTATTTTACACTTAGAAATTTTCAGTTTGAGCATCCAGGTTTTGTGTAAAATATTAAGCTTCAAAAATGTGTATGGCATCAGTTTGTAATTTCACAAAATGAGACACCATAGGAAGAGTCTTAATATTTTTGCAAGGTACTGTAGTAAGGCCAAAGAAAAGTGAAAGAATTTTCCATAAATGCATTTACTTCTGACTCCACCTGGACAAGCTTTAATTTTTTATTTCTTTAGAGGATTAATTTAATTAACTTAATTTTTTCTTTCATTAGAGAGGCCTGCTTTTGCATTATAAACGTCCTTTGAACTGCATGCCTGACATATAGAAAATGTCACAATTCATAGTGTTAAAGAAAAAAACAAAAAGAGAGAAGAAAAAATGGAAAGAATGAAGAATGCTAATGTCAATAAATAAATCTGAAAGCAGACTTAAATACTGTAAGTATGCTACCAATATGTTCTCCAATGAATTACTTAAAATAAGCCAACATCAGCAACAACCTGTGTAACATACACAACAGCAGGTTTTCTAATGTGGAGCAGCCTAGACATCATAAACAATTTTGATTTTCCCTGTCCTTAAATTTGTCTAATTTCAGACAATCTATTTTTTCACACCTCTCCTTCTCCATAGACCAAACACATAAAAACATAATAAAAAGCAAAGTTACAAAAACACAATGTTAGAAAAACGAGAAAGGAATAAGAATGAAAAAGAAGCTCCTAGAGCTATCTGCAATAGGAAAATTCAAAAGAAATATGATCAATGAATTTGTTGTTGCTTTTTCTTCATTGATCATATTTCTTTTCTAGGAGCTTCTTTTTCATTTGCTGTCTAAAAAACTATTGGAGAATGCTAGCCAATCACCATTACCACAACTGCATGAACCCTGTTCTTTAACAAATATTAAAAACCTAGAAAAAAAGACAATATAAAGTGAAGGCAGACTAGACCATCTGGACTAAAACATTAATTAAAAAACACCCAACAATAAGATTCTGAAGGAAACAAGAAACTGTACCTGCTGGGTATTATCTCTGAACACCCTACACTTTCATTTGCAACATAAAATATTGACTTCTTGGACAAATACCTTGGAGAGGTAACAGCAGAAGACTGTTAAGAAATAAGTTACAGAATCTGAAGCCAAATCCAAAAATTCAGACAATAAAAATCTGCTACTACAGGGAAACGTGTTAAAATGGCCATTCACAAATTTAACAAAAACATTGACCATGAGTTGAAAGCAGTAGCGTAGAAATGCTGAGTAAAAATGACAAACTTAAGCCTGTTTTTGAAGATGACAGCAACAATTATGGCATCGGAGAACCACACATGTGATCACATTAAGAGGTGAAACACCATATTGGAGATGTTACATTAGTGAACTCTTTTTGCCACATTGGTTCATCTGAAGCCTGTAGTGGAGTGCATTCAGTATATAACCACTACCTTAATCTCTTAAAGAACCAATTTATGTGTACATCATGATACAGAAACAAAGCATGTCTCTGTTCTGCTAACACAGTTCCTCTCATAATGGAATTGTAAAAAAATGGTATGTGGAAGCTGAAACCTCCTATGGAAAAGGAGTCATTTGATAGCACTGCAGTAGTCTTCAAGTACTTGGATGGCAAAATTCAATGCCCCATGCAAAAAATGAAGCAGGTGCTGACACTGCTTCTCCAGTTATGTACTACAGGTTAACTGCAAAAGGAATTGAACATAAAAATACACTTATACCCACATACTCCGAAACCATGACATTTCAGCTAATGAAATTAGTTGTTTTCAATCTTTTTTGTATACTAATTTTGCAGGACCCAAATTAGCTGATGGGAGTATAAACTTTCTTTTCCTAAATGTTTCCTTTCATAGCTGACATCAAGCCATTCCTGCAGGATGAGACCAGGAGAAGCTTCATACTAAATCATGTCCTTTCACTGTTCAACCTTGGCCCAGGCAATTCTGAGGAAATGGATCTTCCTCAGGTCAAAAAGAGGCAAGAAGCTAAAGTAAAAGCACACGGAACATATATAGGATTCAGGTATTAGCTGAATGCAAATTTGACCTCTTTGCTGGTGTTGCTACACAAAAGTGTAAATATGAATATGACATTGAAAAGAAATAAAAAGAAATCATTAACAATTATTGATTCTGTGTCAATGGCTATGTTTATATGCAAGTCTCAAAGTCCCAAATTTACAATCAATTCTTGTGCAAAAGTGACACAGTGGTGAGGTAACAAGATAACATTGCTGTACAGAGTACAGATTTATGAAAAATCGTTCGTATTAACAATGCTATTTCTAGAGCATTTCTGTACTTGATACAATAACAGAGAGTTAGAACACCTCTTTGGCTCTAAATTCAAATTCACTGAGGCCCTTGGGAGTGTGGACTGTCTTGCAAATAGCTACTTAATCAGAATGGTTACCAATCATTACTGCATCTCTTTCCATCTGTGACCTCAGTGCGTCCTGTGTCACCTTGCATTATGAGACTATGCATAGCAGTGGAGCACCGAGTCCCTCACTATAGTACTCTACAGCACATCTGTGAGCTTTTTGTTGTCTTGGGTCTGTTATAGCTCTCAACCAGTGGGATACACTTTCAACTTTGAGAAAAAAAACTCTGGACTCATCTCTATAGCCCTGGCTATTACTCATAGATACTAGTGTATTCATGAAATTATCTGATGGTTACAATTACCCAAGAAAGTTGCCAAAAAAAGTACCACTTTCCATTATTTATTTTAGAGAAACTGTCACAGTTATGAGATTTTATTAGTGTGTATAAATTCTATTTACTGATTTGGATTTGGATAAAATGTCTTTTTCATTTTTACCCATATAACAAAAAAAACTTTCTATCTACTTACCATCAAATGGGTCCTGCATAAACTGAGCATACACAGTACTGCTGTCATTGCCATACTCATTCTTGGCTAATAAGGTGTACTGTCCGTTGTTTAGGTGAGTTGGGCTGTCTAGTTGTAGGCATCCATGGTGCTCACTATCCAGAGTCTCATGAATCATTGTCTTGATGAAATCTGTCTCTTGTAAAACAGCTCCTTCATAGAACCAGTGCAGTGTAGGCTTTGGGTTTCCTCTCACACTGAAGGGAATGCACCAGTGATGGTCTGACATGGCTTGGGCTAAGAGCGTTATTTTTGGTGCAACTGAAAAGATGAGGGAAATTTTAAAAATCATTTGTTATCACCATAACAACTCACTCAAAATAATTGTAGTTCTGTGGGTAATAATCATTCTAATGACTCTAAGCAAGATAAAACCACTAAAGCTCCGTCTTCCACTTATTATAATTAACAGTAGCATTAATAGTAAGTATTTGTAAAACTAGTAACATACAAAAGTTTTTTTTTTAAATTTTGTTTTAGAATCTGTTTCTAAAAAAAATGTAAGAAGAATAAGAAGTTTCAATTTCATAATTTTGAAAAAAGAAGACTCAATTGTCATTTCCAGTGAAACAAAGACAAAATTATGGTTTTACAACAGTTACTTTTGATTTCTAATTACAATGCATGTTGTAATTTTAGATATACTAATAAATCAATAAAAACATTTATATTGCCATTATCATTTTAAGTTGTGCTTAAACTAGGGATTTACTAGATAATCATTCATTGGGAAAGACAAAGAAAAAAATGACCAAATACAAAATATTGTTGACTTACAGAGAATATTTAGAACAGCAGAAAGTTCACTTCCCCAAACAATGTTTTCTGCACTGCATGGAATCTTTTTACCATTATCATGTGATGAAATGTTTGTCAGCTTAAGTATCGAACGTTGCGCTGAGGTATTTACCATCTAGGAGAAAAATAAAAAATTATTTCAATCCATATATCCCTGTACATGTTTTTATATATATATATGATTACACATAAATATGTAACTGGCTTAACACAACATTTCAGAAACAGGATATAGAATAAGATAAACATGATGAACTAAAAAAGGCTTTTGTTTGAGAAATGGAAAGGATCAAATTTATATTGCACAGCATTTTACAGGAAAAAAATAAATCATCAATTTAAATTCTAATTTCTGAGCTCGTATTTATTATCTCTAACTATTTTAAGAAAATGTTGGGACTGTTGGAAAACAGTTGCCAAGGGATTTAACCTGAGAATACAACCATGTATACTTTTAGAATGAACATGCAAGAAGAAAAATGCCATTTAAGAATCATTTTCTTATATGGCTCATAATTAGGCACAAGGCAAAATTGTGTCATCTGAATTATGCCATGGTATTTATAATTCTATTGAGGAATTGCACTGTCATTGTGGTCAGCCATTTTTGATGATAGTCTATGAGTTATCTCTGTTAATTGTGGAATTTGCACTCTCCTATGACAGCAAATTCTGATTTGTACAAAACCTGTGATTTAACACATGGAATATCGTATGTAGGTCACACCTAAGAGTGATTCTTTCTAATCATATCTTCTCTTCCTTTCATCTGCTGTATTTATAAACAGTTGAGTTGAATTTTTTATCTTCAGGGAGTCCAATGAAATTAACCTAATTTAATCACAGGACAGTAAATATAACGTGAAAGAATACTAATATGTAGTATTCATATGTTTTAAGAAATTCATATTCTGTATATACAGTATAAATAGTATATCTCTAGATAGTATATACTGTATTCTTCTCTAAATGCCTCAGTAAAGTGGCTCACTATATATCACAAAAAAGAAATAATTTAATGAATGCAATGAATAAATAATAATGAACACAAAGCTATTTTTTGTTGAAAGTGAAAAACTGGAAATCATGCAGTTTCCTTTATTATTTAAACAGTTTTCTTAGGTCTCTTACCTCATAACTGGAAACTAAATGGTCAGTATTCCATTCCAGAAGAGGAGTAGGAGACCCAGTAGCACTGCACTCAAGTATAACATTCTTTCCTTCATGTATGGTGACATTCGAGAGACTAATATCCACTTTAGGCAAGACTGTTTAAAAAAGGTCAGAAAGAAGACAATACAACATATGAACATTTCTGAATACATCACATTCCAGTCATTGACTAACACACTATAAAACTTACCTTTTATTCTATAAGATCATGCATATTGAGCTAATTTAAATTTAAAATATGAATGAAATAACTTTACACATTTGATTACTGAAATATTACAAAATAGTATCTAAAGGAGAAACACAATCCTGCATGGTTAATAAGCAAACTAACATTCTCAACAACTAAAGATATTTAAACATTAACAGTTCAGTGCCAATTAAGTCAATAATTGGAACAAACTGAATGAAACCAGTATACTCTCTGGGTCTACATGAACAGGGATGAGTATGAGCAATCTTAAGTACTTGTGAACTTTTTAAATACTGGATCCACATTTTACTATCACTTCTTAATCTAATCAAGACCCCTTTCAAAATCTGAGAGCAAATAATATGTTTATGTTATAACAAAACCGAACTACTTTCTTCACATGCACTTTACTGGACGTATAAGTATAACTTTCCTAGAGCATCTTATGTGCCTTTAAAAAAGAACATGTTATAATAAATAATTGCCCATTGTTTTTTCATTGATCACCCACAATTTTGGAATTGTCAAAAGAGTTGCAGATCATGGTGATGATCCTACATCCACAGAAGGAGAATAAGGATAGATCGACAGATTGTTTCAACCCACCCACTCATTAAACTATTTATCTTTTGACATACTAGAAGATCCACAGCATCCTGTAGCTTCAGTGTCAAATGGACAGTGTCACAAGCCTGCAGAAACCTGAGTAAATGCAGAGATTGCTGTTTTTCTGTGGACCAAGAGAATTAAACCCAATTCTAACACCAGCAGCACTGAGCCAGTTATAAAAAAAAAATGATTTTTAACAAAGCCCAGAAACATGTTATCTTAAACTAGCAAATTCTGGTATCCATATACTGTACGATATAGTAATACAGAATTATATTACAGTATAGTACGTATAGCAGTATACCAAAGGTGCTTCTAATGCAGGCCTTTTCAAGGTGCACTCTGTGGCAGTGGAATTTGGCAAATACACCAATGAGACCTTGGCAGTGGCAAATTCCAACGGATAGTGACAGGACTCGCTGAAGGGAGATTGGTGGCAGGTGTGCTAGCTGTTTTCAAGGACTGATTACATGTTCTCTGGCACAAAACTGTAGCATTAATGGTTGTGATAGTGTGGAACAAGCTACCCAATCAAGCTAAAGCCAATACCCTGACTTCTTTTAGTAAACAGCTGGATGAGATACTCAGATCAATCATCGGTTAACTACCAAAAAGGCTAGATGGGCCTGTGTGCCTTCTCTTTTGTTAGTAACCTTCATAATAATGTTATATTCATTCATCTTGTTGGGTGTGTATTAATGTTGTTTAATATTGTTCCCTATGGTCCCGAGTATTTTTTTTTGCCAAATGCCAAATACTCCACAATACCCATTTTTCACTATGCAGATTAAATATTGTATATTAAAATCTATTCATATTGGGAAGAGACACAAAACCACAGCTCTAAATTGTAAATAGTTCAATCAAGTCATGAAACACACAGATAAAAAACAGAGTTTTACTCAAATACAGTTAAAACTATAACAGAATCAAGTAAATCAGATATTGTACAAATTCACCTATAAATTTATACAGCAGGAGAAAATATTTAAGCACCACAAATTGACAAGGTTTTTCTCATGCCTTTATCATGTCTTCCTTTCCCGGACTGCATGTGAATTATGTTAAATTTTCAGGAAATACAGCTACCATTGTAATTTGTTTTATACTTAGAAATGTTCTGTTGTCATTTTTCTCCATAAAAGTGCACTTCACATACTACAACAGGCATACATTAATCCTGCTCACAGCTTTTACTGCATATCATCTGTGCCTTGGAATCAATTTTGCATAATTATATTACCATAATGAGATGTTTGCTATGAATGCTAAAATAAGCTTATGACTTTCATTTTACCTATGCTTATGGCTAGATTTTAGTTTAAATATTAAAAGTATTGCTGTATTCCAGTCCTTACTTTTGGACAATACTCACAAAGTGGAAAAAAATATTTTAAAATTGCATCTGGAAACAGTCTGATAGTAATTTTGGTGATTCATCGATTTACATTTCTAGAAACATAAATGTCTAAACTTTCATTGTAAGCATGCAGTGAATTTCATCCAGAAAGGCTCATGGATAATTTCTGACCACTTTTTGTAATGAAAGTCTTTTAGGATATTTGACATTCAAATGATTATGGAAGAACAAAAAAAAAATACCACCATGTATCTGTTTCAGTATGTAAATTCTTTGAGTGGCTTAGATACTGTAAATAGAGAGCACATTTTGATCTCTATTAATTTTCTCCTGTTCCACTTAATGAAGTATATTGACTTCCATTAATGAACTTCACAGTAAGCAAATAAATATATTAGAAAATATTGCATTTCAGCTACAAACCATCTCTCCTTATACTTTATTTTAAGAATGATCTTCAATCCCAACCTATCAACAGCAACTAGGGCACCTCAGTGTATTCAGCACAGTTAACAGATCCTTTCAACAGACCGATAATAACAACAATCCAAAAAACGTATGCCACCAGTTTCAAAACAAACCAAATGGAGCACAAAAGGTCAAATTCAGTTAAAACATGTGAAAAGTAGTAAAAACAAGTTTACTGACTTATTGAGTCACTTTAGACTTTTCCATTTAGACTTACAATATTTATTTGACACAGTCAGTCTTATGAAAAAAAGAAATTATAGCTTTTACAATCATAGAGATTAACACTAAATAGTTTAATACAGCATTATTTTTACATTTTTTATTGTTTATTTTTGTGATTTATAATTTGTTAATTAAAAGTAAAGATGCTGAACTCAGTTCATTTTTTCATTACATAAGCCCACCTGAATGGTGTTTTAATATGCAAATAGAAAACACTTCACTGTGCCAGACGCCTCTCTAAGTACACAATCCAAAATAAAAAAGTATTGTGAGGATGTCAGATGTGAAACAAGCATATAATAGAGTAGTTTTTCGTTTGTCATGATTCTGTCATTTGAGCTACTTGTTATGTCATTGTAGAGATTTATATACAATTAAACAAATTTGCAGCCTGATAAAGTAAACAAACGTAAATCAAAGTAAGTCTCAGTTGCAGAGAATGACAGAAAAAATGTTTTAACAATTCATTATTCATCTTTAACTCCATAGACTCCTCTAAAAGAAACACTTCCATATCTATAATAATGATGTTTCTGCACTTGATATAATGATAACAAAAGCTTTCTAAGACAGTGAAAGTGTGATACATTAGCCTTAAAAACTTAAATTAGTACTAGAGAGACATTCTGCAACTGGCCTTCATTAATAAGCATAATTTATTGTCTTACATCCAAAGCAAGGTCTTCAGATTTTATAAGTTATATGTATCTTGCAGTGAGGCATGCACACAATATGACAGGATTTCAAATAAGAAGGTCAATAGTAATAAATTTCAAGGTTCAACCATGAAGACCAAGGAGATTTCAAAACTCAAAAGATAAAGTTAGAGAAAGGCACAGATCATGAGAAAGATATAAAAAATATGAGACACTGAATATCTCTTTGAGAATACTGAAATTAATCATTTAAGAAGTGGACAGTGGTTTATACCAACCAAACACTGCCTAGATCAGGATGTCCCTCCAAAATGAGCAGTCGGTCAAGGCGGAAACTGGTTAGGAATGCCTCTCTGAGGTTAAACAATGATTTTGACAGAGTTACAGAGTTCAATGACTGAGATTGGAGAAAATGACCATGAATCACAGCTGGTTTCTGTAGCAAAATGGCTAGAAGGAAGCCATTACTGAAAAAACATCATCTTAAAATCTTCATGTAATTTGCAACAAAGCATTTAAGTGATACTGCAAACATGTTTCAAAAGGTTTTATAGTCAGCTGAGACAAAATTAAAACTTTTGGTCTAAATGAAAAGCATTCAAAGCATTACTGGTGCAAATCCAAAACAGGCTATCACCCATTTATCACCATCCATAATGTCAAGAATGTTCATAACAACATTATGTTATGAGACTACATCTCATCAGCACCGACTGGGAAGCTTCTTATGATGGAGAGTGAAATGGATGGAAGTACAGCTAACTCTTAGATGAAAATCTACTCCAGTCAGCTAAAAACCTAAAATTGGACCAAAACTACCTTGTACCACTTGTGGACTGAAGTGGCCTAGCTAAAATCCTCACTAGAATCTAATAGAAAATTGCTGGTATGACTTAAAAATTGGTTTTCATCAATGATCCCCAACTACATTTGAAAAGGCTTGAGCAAATTTCCAAAAAGGAATGGGTGAACACTGCACCATCCTTGTGTGCAAAGCCGGTAGATGTTTATCGAAAAAGATTTGGCTATAATTACTCTCAAAGGTACAGGCCATGACTAAAAGTGTTTAGTTTGAGCATCTAAGATTGCCTTAAAAATATTCACTTTAAAAATGTGCATACATGATTTAAAATTCCACAAAAAAGACATGATTGAAGAACCTTGAATACTTTGACAAGGCACTGTATAATCCTTACATCTCTGCATTAGAGATATCAACATCAGAGAAACATAAATCTTTGTTGCTATAAACACTGGTTATAAACACTCTCTTGATGAGATATAATATTATAATCATTTCCTATTGAGGAAATCTCACATAAAGAGTCAAGTCCCATAGACAATAACAACAAGATACTTTGAAGATGGGCCAAGACATACCATAGCTCTTCTCATATATTTTTATAATGGTGTTGCTGAGAATACAGGTACAGTATGTGTATTTAGTGTACTCCCACTGTTCTGTATTATACTGATTTACACATTCATTTTAATTCAGAACACTCAGACAATGGTTAACTACCTTCCAATGAAACTGGGACTCACCTTCTATTCAGTCTGTTAGTGCTCCATTGGCACCCTAGTAATACAAAGCCTCATTAATCTTTTTTAATATAAGGTGTTAGAGGATTCCGTTTCCAAACTATCAGGACTCCCAATTATTGCTGTAGCAAAATAGAAGGTCCTTTTAATTTTATAACCAATTATCAATTGATTATTATTATGAGACTACAAAGACCGACTCTTGAGTTGACCAGAGAAGTCCTGATTGGTTTGATCTGAGATACTTCTATTCGCTTAATAACTTGTGACCATATGCTGTATGGTTGCATGGATAAAGCCAGAAGACATCTCTGAACAGGTAAGACACAAAGGATTAACAGAGACAGTATGGTAGTTTTATAATGCTATACAAAATGTAAAACCTTAAAACTCCTCTAGATGAATTAAATCAAGAAAGTATAAAAAATCTATGTTCCCTCTCACAAACAAATCTTCCAGAGGTCACTCAATACAGGAGTATTGCTGTTTAGTGCTCAACCATAAAAGGGAGAGAGAATTAAACCAAATTGACACGAATGAACATTATTCAGTGTATTCAGTGATGAGTGTAGAGTACACATGAAATGAAATATTAACACTATAGTATGGAATAGTTATATATAATTGGGAATATATTGTAACATTTGGCTTATGTAATAACAAAAGTGATATTTACATTTTAGAAAGAGGAGAGACCAAAATAATCCCTGGCTTTAAGGAATACAATACATAAATAGCTTCATCATCATCACCACTTTCATCAACTACTTATCCATTTCAGGGTCATGCTGGCCTGGAGCCTATCCATTGGGTGCATGACAGAATCCACCTAGGATGTGATGCCTGTCCATCACAGGGCAGACACACAGACACGCACACACATTCACACCAGGGCCAGATTTACAGATGTCATTTAACCTACCAGTTTGTCTTAGGACTGTGGAAGGAAATCTGGAGAAAAACCACACAAACGCCGGAACAACATGCTGATAGAACCCCAGAAATTAAGACAGGACAGACAGGACATAAGGAAATTCATTTTACTGGAACAAACTACCCAGCAAAGTTAATGAAGCAGATTCTAAAGAAATGGCAGAACAAAACAGGATCAATAAGTCACGGGCATTTAAAATATCATGATGGGTCAAATGGTTAACCTTTCTTATGTTATATTGTCTGCCAAGACCTGACCAGACACTGCTGGCGATCATAAAAATAAAAATGAAAAGGTGTTGGGAATCAGAATGTTCCCTGTATTTTTTATTTGTTAAACATCCAACAAAATGTTCTGGCTTGCTCTTTTGTTGTTTTTACTTAGATTGCATTTAATGTGATATAAAACAATTACAACAAAATCTAAAGACACAGATGGAGAACAAATGATGTAAGTAAGCAATCCAAATGTATACATTGAATTTTTTACCGGTGTAGAACAAAGTACACCACAACACTTCCTGCTACTATACTTTTCAACTGTTTCTGGGACAATAGTAGAATATCATGACAAATAAAAATGTAAAGGGATGCACCTAAAGTGAATTAAAGTGAGGGACAAAGACAACAATTTAGGGCAATGTTTCAAACTTATTTACACTATTAAACCTATATCTCTGCAAAACACAGTTATATACTGGGTAGGAAATCACAGATACAGGCCATATATTCTCATTTTAAATGCAAGAATATTCTGTTAACAACAGATAATCTTTCACATTCACACAGACTTTAGAATAAGATGCAGAAGTCATGTTCTAAAGTTACACCAAGAAAGATTTGTGCAATGTGGGCAGAAATACTCAGCACTCCTAGAAACACAGTAAGATCAAATATTCTGAAATATAATAATAGGTTAAACAAAGATCCTAACCATATCTGGCTGAGCATATAAAATATCACCTAAAAGCAGAAATATAAAGTGGCAATCAAAACCCCTTACTCAGATCATCAAGGTCATAGAAAATGCATTAGTAGAATCTGTAACAAATAAGACAAGAATGCAAAAATGCATAGTCTCATTGGACATGCTGTAGATACAGTTGCAAAATTATTTTTCAATTAAAATACTAATATTGACAAAATAACACAATACTAAGAACATACACTGTAGGGTGACACAATGAACTTCAAACTTACTAGGTTCTTAGACCAAGCATCATGGGGTTTTATTAAACAAAAAACTATACTGTATTTCCCACTCATGGATGAAAACTCATTTGGAATCAAAGATGAGAAGCCTCAATTTACAGCAGTGTGAGATGGATTTTCACATCGAGAAAGCGAGACATATGAAAGCAGTTTTAAAATGTTAACATGTTCTTTTCCAGTACATCAGAATTGAATTTGTTCGTGATTTTCTGAGAGCGAATTAAAAAAAAATTAAAGCTGAAAATTTGGTGAAAGGCAGAATACACATGAAAAGTGTGACATTATTTTTCATTTTAGTTGAATTCTGTTTGTACAATACTAAGGTAAAGTGATAGCTCCATTGAAGCAAATGCTTTTTTTTATTAAATGTAGTATGCAGCTACACCCCTGACTGAAATAATTCATATTATTGATCACAAAATAATGTAACACAGTTTCATATTTCAGTGTGACAGCAATCTGCAACCACATAGTCAACTCCAATCTTTTCAAAGACGACAAGGATCAAAGTGCTGGTATAGTCATTACTAAAGCCTAACCTAAACCCTACAGAAATATTATGGGTGTGTCTAAAGAAAGGCACAAATCTGAATACAGGTCAACTGTACTAAAGAATCAAACAAAGGAAATCTCTTTATATACTCACTTCTGATGTGCCAGGTCCTTGTTTTCCAGCCAAGCCCTTATTTTATTTCCAATCTGCTTTAATTTTAAAAAATCTACCACATGTGTTTAAGATACATCATGTGATTTTTTTAAATGAAAGTATATTGAAAATAAAATTATGGCATGGTTGGAAAAAAGGAACGTGTGTTTTTCCTTGAATTTAATACAGTATAAGAATTTGACTAAACCGTTATTAATCTGCATGCTTCTTATTTTGCACACTGTTGGTTTAATAATTATTTCCAAACTGGGTACCAAAGTTCATTTAGAACCAAAAAGTCAAGGCCTACAACTATTCTCTATAGCTTCTGTAAAGCCTAGTGAGACAGATAAAGCTCTTTAAATGAATACTATAATTTCAATATAGTCCAGGGTTGGCAAAGAAACCCTTAATGAAAGGTAAACAGATCTAAATTACACAATGGGAAGGATCATCATTGGATGATAAAAAACTAGAAACATTTACTTCAAAGGCAAAAGAGTGATGTCTTACTTGTTAACATATTAAGCTTTTTCTGAACACAACTGCAATCAAGTTCCTTTTGCTTCTGAAGCAGAGGAAATGTGTTTGACCAGATAATGCATCTTAATGAAATGCCATCACTGTGAATACAGAACCTGAATGCATTATCATTAACTCCAGTGGGCGAAGGAAGAATGCCAGACCCAGAACTTTACCATTACCCTTCATCCACGTAAAACATATTAAATGCTAAACGTCGTGTTATTTTTCAGTTATTTTTCAAAAGTTATCTTTAATAATTGAACTATCATCCCACCACTTGTTATTTCACAACAAGCCCTTCAACAGTTTTTTTTTTTAATGAAAATACATGTTTTTATATATAGTACACCAAATTGCATGGTTAAATAAATCATGTGCATTTTATTCGGGGGTTAATTTTAATAATAGTAAAATTGAAATTACCGCACTCTGGAAGAGACAGTTTGGAGAGTGGCTTATTTCTATTTTTGTCATCCCAGCACACTATCTCTTGGCTCTCTGTTTCATCTCCCAGCCATAGCTTGATCCACAAGTTACCACATGAGCACTGCAAAGGATTGCCTGAAAGGATACTAAATGGCAGGGTTTTCACATTAAAGTGCTATTTTGATAGACAGTTCTAAAAAGACAAGAAAATAAAGGAAATCCGTGGCAAAGTTTATTTTTACTGGGTAAAACTACTTTATTCTGTATTTTATTCAATTATCTTGAATTTACAAAAAAACATATTTTTGCTTGTGTCACACAAAAAGGATTCATATCAGCCTTTCCTAAGGTAAAAGCATGCATATTTTATCAAACAATCCCATAGACAGATATTTTGCTTTATCACAAATACTTACAAACTTGTCAAGTTTAAATGCCGGAAGGTCCTCCAAGACAATGATGACAGCCTGTTGTCTTTTAGATTCCTGCAATTCAATCAATCCACAAATAAACACCTTCATAGCACAAAACACGCAGTGAGTAAACCTAGCAGACAAGGCCTATTAGTACATCAGCCAACGCTAGGATTTGGCTCTTATTTGAGAAGACACAATGCTCAGTTTCAAATTGTGCTGCACACAGAATTGTATTTATAGTTCTTGACCGGTTATAAAATCACAATACATCTGAACACAGTCACTGAGATATACTGTAGATATAAAGAACCTGCTGCAATGTAAAATGTCTGAATCATTTTGTGGCAAAAAGAAAAATACAATATTTTTAGCACACTCCCCTTTGTCAAGACATTTTAAAATTAATCACTTGAAATCCAAATGAACACCAAAGTATGTGTACATGACTGAAAAAGAAAAATAGGTTTTCATGTTGTACACTAGATGTTAGTAATTTATTAAAATAATTAAAAATGTGTATATAACATTAAGTTTTTTTTCTCATTTATCCATAAACTGAAATGAAAGTACTCAACTTACAACTTACAAAACCATTACTTACAAATATTGTAGCTTCACATTGTTCTGAAAGGCCAAACGGGATATATAAGTCAATCCCGAGTTTGTCACAGTTCTGTTGATAATGAAAACAAAATGATTATTGTTGTTGTCGACTGTTGTCATAAGTATTATCATTGCTGTTTTTAATATCTGATACTTACAAATTCCTGAGGCTCTTATAGAACTTCACATCATTATCGGTGATGGCATGTAAATTACTTTGATTTGCAATGTATCTGTTAAAAGACATTAAAATAATGTTACAAAAAATTAATTTGCCTTTTACACAGTTAATAATATAATGTGCATAACTTAAAATAATGGCCTTACATGTTCACTAACCATTCTTGAATATTTTTGTAATTTCCAAAAACTATTAAAGAATCCCTTTGCTCATTGTGTGTTGTGCTTTTATAAAAAAGAGGGCCCTTTAAGATATTTTATCAATTAATTTATGTTAAGTCCAGTTATTGCTTTTTAGCAATTCCTTATATAATCGCTTCTGTAAAACGCCTCTATAAAGTGGGCTACATGCTTTAGTCATTTTGTATGCCTTAGTAAAGGCCTTAAAATATTTTGATGAAAACAGCTGGCGAGGTGAATTTTTTTTTATCGATTAATTGATCTAGTCTCTTAAATTCAAAGTTGGATCGATCTAACAGTTGTGTGTCAATTAACGCTTTTCTTGATGCAATGGTGGTTTCCCCATAGTTATATCACAGTGTTTGAAGACTTTATATCGCAGCAAATTATACAGTCTAAGAACCTAAATAACTAGTATAAAATAAGGCTACACTAAATGCGCTCTATCGTCTGTTTGTTTGAAAGAAATCTACCTTGTACAACAAATAAGAAAAAAATAGTTTCAGGTACCTAAGGGGCTTGATGTTAAGTCTTTAGCAAAAAAGACACTTCGCGGATTAATGTGTAGCGAATTATACGACTCTGCTTCCTTTAAATTTCAATGGCCACATTTATGTTTAGGGCCTTTTTTATCTCAGCAGTCTATCTTTTCAATAATAAGATAGTTATAAAAAAGGAAGAATAACAGTCTTATAATTTCACACCACAGCTGATGTATAATAGCTATGCTTCTGCATAACCTAGCTGACCAATAAAAAGTCAATTTATCGTATCTAAAACTAAAGGTGAGCCAAGAACTAAATTCGTTTGCTGTAGGGAATGATTCTAATATGCCGCGTCTTTGCTCGGATTTTGCTAGGGTTGCGTTCCTTTACAGTCTATCAATCCTCTTATTACGGGAATGCAAAACTGGCTGATAGCAGCAGCAGCCTAAGCCGTTCCACATTTCAGCACCTTTCCAATGAAAAAATGACATACATCCTATTGAAAGTCGTTTTCGCAAATACGTGTTTCTTGTTCCCACACACGTTGTCTAGTGTCGGGTATTGGGTCCATTTTAGTTAAATAATTATACCACGGCCACTGTTTGAACATACATATAAGCGTGTAGTTCAACTGATGCTGCCCTTTAATGGCTCATACAGTACAGTACAGTGTACATCGCATTTACCACTGACAATCCTTTAAGATCTACATAAACCTAACATATACAGTAATCCATTTACTTCCAGTGTATTTGTGTGAACAGAATTGGCCACTTTACAAGTTTATTTTAAAAGCACTCTGAAAACAATCTGCCGGAGCTTCCTTTTGATACATTCCTTCAATCTTTCTGCTCATCCTTTCCACACATGTCCTCCAGTGATTTTATTTTCTTTAACACTAGCCCGCTGTAACAGATGAGCCGATAAGTCAACCTTGCACGATGCTGCTTGAATGAAACTTAATTCTGGCTTTGCTCACCGCACATTGCAACGCGTTTCGTCTTAATGTTTTTTTTTTCATTTTCGTTTCGTTATGATTTTTGTAGTACAACTGGACACATTATTCCAATCCTGAACGTATCCATCTCTCATGTGGATGATACTCACATTTCAGTAATGTTTTCCATTTCTATATCGGTGTTTAATACAGGGAAAGCCTTGATTCCCCATTCTTGATCGATACTGGTACATGAAATTCTTGAGGTGCTGCATGTACAAACTGCAGGACAAGCGGCGCTAAACCTCCAAAGCCCCAGCAAAATCCAACAAAATCCCAAACGAGCCATTACACGCCACTTCCAAGAGGAGATCATAGTGGATCCCTCGTTGCCCTTTCCAGATTTGGTTAAATGATCCTTCCTTATAAACCTGTCGGCGATCTTGTCAGAAACAAAGGCGAAAAACCATGAGATAATCCTTTCGGTAAGAGGTGAGGTTGTGATCGAATTGTCTTTTCTCTCTCCGCAGTAAGAGAGTCATACAATATTAAATGTAAAGGCTGTAAAGTGTGCCAAGGTTTCCTTCCCCCCTCTCTCCTTTTCGTTCGGTGTCTTCACTCTCCAAGGAGATTTGGGTTGGCTGGTTGATCGCAGTGGTGCAAAACACCACAGAAAAAATGATGCTGTTGCTGCTGCTGCTGCTGCTGCTCCGTTTCTGCTGCAGGGCTGGAGGAAAAAAAAAAACAGGCAGAGATGATCCACGCAGGCTGAAGCGAGCGTGTGGTGCTGTAGTGAAAGAGCGAGTAAGTGCGTGATGAGGACAAGGCAAGGAGGTACCGAGTACCAGCAGTCGTATATCGATAATTACCACACGCGATAAACCTACAACAGCCGCTCGTTGTAATTACGAGCCTGATATCAGAAATGATTTTCGCTGCGATTTTCCAGCAGCAAAAGGTTATTGCTAGAACAGAACAAAATAAATCCTATATAGACAAAACTGGAGACTGGCTTTGCATGGCATGAAACATGTTAATCATTTAGAATACCATTATATTAAAACATGGTGAGACAACCTACACCGGAATATAAATTTCGAAAGGAGATTGACATTCGAGAAAATCAGATTAAAAAAAATGTTTGAATTTAATCAAAGGCACACCTTCATATTACCTAATGAGGCTGCAGTGATATACTGTACCTCAGAACAAGCAAGCGGTAAAAGCTTCCAAGTGTGTTTAATTTACAAGCAGTCTGATTAAAGATATGATTTGTACTGTACCTATAAAATGTGAGGTAGGAAATGTATGGATACCAAAATAATGCTATAGAAAATGTTTAACAATACCTATTGCCAGTCACTAAATCCAGCATTACCAAATATCGGATGAGAGTCAATGTGCCGCGTTGTTTCACACACACACACATAGGCACTCACTCACGTAGTGTATTCCAATAGCTGTGAATGTGACGTGATATTTGACGCAAATATGAGATTCTGAGAGAATCTCAGAAATCAAAAATACGCCAAAATGCCTACTGTAAAATGCTTAAAGTGATTCCAAATATTTTGCTTTTATCTTTACAATTTTGAAACTAAACATGTACACGCAAGCATAGTGTCTGTATTTACCGCAAAAAAAGTGAAGTACGCTTCGAGGTTTCTAAATGTGTGTTAGTGGCAATATCACCTGTTAAAAAACAATCAGCAGCAAACAGCCGTTGAAAACACTAATACTGTATATCCGCAGCAATTACACTGGACCAGCATCGCTTCTGTATAAATTATTATTTATACAGGAAATACATTGCATAAAGAATTGAGAAATTACAGGATAATACTCAGAGTTCAAGGAGGCAGAAACGCAATAAAACCCTGTCTCCAGCGTCACAAGACACCTAGTCGTGTCTGTCAAAACTTTCGCCTGCAGTGTAATTCCGTGTTTTTGTCACGTAATGTCACCAAATGGGAATTTCCCATTTTCCTAGCACGAAGTCACGATGTTCTCCTCACGGATTTACCGCAGCATAAACACACCTCACACATTCTTCATAATAGTCTATATTTGATATGATTACATGTAATAGATCGTATTTACACAAATAGTATCTGCATTATATGTAATTCAACCCCTTTAGGTTACTAAAAGAGTTCTGTCGCGCTACCTATTATCAAAATTCCAAATTTGTCTAATTTAAATATGTATAATGTATGTATAAATAACAATGTGTATATACAGTATATATGACTAAATGCTTCACTTTAAGGGACAAGCTGTATTCTACTGTATAACCTTCAGGGGACAGAGATTTGTTCGTCGTTTGCCGATAAGAAACTTGTAAAGCGAGCTTTTATTTTCCACCCACACAACGATAATAAAGAGCACCTGTTGTTAACCGTGGTAATTGTGGGATCGTGGTTGCCGAAAGGTGAAGACAATGTGTTTTCTGGGAATACGCCGATTCATTTGGCTCCAGACATTGTACCGCAGTAATTCAGCAGAGTGATAGGCACATTTTAAATGGCTGCCCTGACACCTAGCGAGACTTTAGAAAATCTGCACATGTGAATAATACACAATCCCTTGACCTAGCTGCGCCCTTGCGTCTTCAGAGGCTTATTGTATTTATTACATACAGGTCATGATGAATAAGCATTTGTGTATACTGTACATAGTATGAACTTTAATGTATTATGTGTTGGTATTGGACTGCAGACATTCTGAAATGGTTCCCAAGAATGGCAATACCCACTAAGTCTCCAGCAAGGAGGATAAAGATCCAAAGAGCACAAATCTGAGAAGGAACTGTACGGAGGCAAGGGATGAAGAGTATTGATGATACACAGTATAGTTGTGAATCATAAGAAAAAACGGTAAAATGTCCAAAAATATGCCATCATCAGCATTTTGAAGGCTCATACTGAGAATTCAGGCAACGTCAAGTCAGCTGCAGTTCTGTACAGCCCAACAAGTGGAACTACTGTATGTGATTTACATAATGGAAAGGTATTAAAAAACACCTCTACACATATTTCCTTGGCAAAACCACTCTTTTTTAAATGCAATTGTTACAAGATTCTGTTTTTCCCAGTATGAAACAGACAGAAGGCATTCAAGGTTATGCATGACTTTGAAATTAGAACTTGTTCATGTACAGGAAACCAAGAGTAGCAAATACAGTAGGTACCTGTGTCCGCATGTGTAGGCTGAAAAGGAACAGATAAAGGTTTATTTCATTCAGAAAAGAGATGAAAAGAAACACAACCTTTCAGCTGTGGAGCTGCTAATGTGGTCCAATTTAGCCAAAAATGTATTGAAAAAAAAAGGTGCGCACACATACACACACCGTATTCCAAAGAAACTTTAAAGAAAATAAAATATGAAATCTGAAAACAAGCCATTCCTTATTGATGACAAAATTCTTACTGGCACTTTCAAAGTTTTTGTAACTTGTTTGGGATTATGAATGTTGTTCCTTGAAGCAACAAAAAAGCTTGTTTGGACTAGCTTGATAATTAATGTGGGCTGTAATTATTGACTGAAACACTGAAAGGCAAAAAGATTATTCCTATTGACATTATTCTTGAATTCTTCATCTGTGAATGATCTCATCTGATTTTATTTAAATTATTTTGCTTGCAACTCAAACAATAAAGTTCAAAAGGATCAATGAGGTTTTAGTGCAGGCAGTGCTTTCCAACTGTGATGTTTGTAGAGTCTTTGCACAAACTGTTACTAGATAGAGTTATGATTGTTACAAGATAAGTAATCAGAAACGACAAAACCTACAGTCTAATGCAATGAACAAAAGCTATAACTACAGGTTATCCTTCAAAACTACAAAATAATATTTCAATACAGCATTAAACACATTATCTGCCTGTTTTTACAGAATACATGCATATTAACAATATTTTCTATGACAAGCTCCAGATGAGCACTTCTGCCTCCTAGATAGCACTAAATTAAATTTGTACACATGACAGTCATTACACTGGTAAAATGAATACATTGGCCAGTGTTGGCATACCACAGGACCAGTAAACAATCCAACCTGATCCCATACAGAGTATCCAGTATTGAAGTTTGAAACAGACCAGCCCTTTATCCATTTCCCAGCCGAGCCAGATAACTAGCTAACTACGTTTTGAATTTCAAATTCAAGCTCTCATCCTGCCACTGTAGCTGCCCATCAATCTGTCTGCTCATCAGTCCATCGTGGAAGTAGATGCTCTCCTTTGACTGCTATCTTATACATACTTCTTATACAAATATTCTGCACTCCTTAAATGACTTTGGGTAGAGAGGCAAAAGATTTCAAAATTAACTAAATTAATAACAATCACATTTCAACGTTTCAAAACAGATATGACTTTCACTGGATGTTTATAATTGTTCTCCAACTACCTTTTCAACTGAAGTCTATGTATGCAAGGAAAAAATACTTGACCATTCTCTTAACATTGATATTTTTTCTTGATAAGTACATCTTAAAAGACTCAGACAATTCGCAAGGAAAATTGACATGCAGCTGTAATTGAAAAATGGCCCAGTGTCTAATAGGCGCATATTTAACATTGATTCACTTAGGGAATCTTCTCCCTGTTTTATTGTGTCTAAGAATATTTCAAGGTTTGCAAAATCAGCAAGTCTGCCCATATAAGATTAATGTAGAGAGCTGGATAATGTGCTTCACTCAATAATTTTGTGTTTATCTAATTATATTAAATATAATTAAATCAATATTATAAGGGCCTTGTTTGTTCTTAGTAGTAATTCAGACATTCAAAAACAATCTTTTTTTTCACTCCCCCCAAAATATCCCACTGAATCAACTTTTTGAGAACTATTGGATAATTGTACATTACTTGAGACCTGGCATTTGTTCCACAATGTATTTTACCTAAGCAAATTGAAGGTAAAACAATTGACATGTACTTGAATCACCAAAGGCTGTTTGTTCTGGTTCAACCTTTATGTCTTATGTTTTTCTCCTTACAGTAGGCTAAAATCCTTCCAGACAAAATCTGTTCTTTTCAAGTTTACATCTAGTCTGCACTCCTTTTAACCTACATTTAATACAATTTGAAATTTTGCATTTTATTAGATGTTTAAATAGTTAAGTTAAATTTGCATTTTATCATATATAATCTCTTTATATTTGAATGTTTTAATTCAGAGCATTAAAAGACGTCTAACCTTATGATTATTGTTCTGATCAGTAGCTCTGGTTGGGTGTCCAAAGTGTGTTACCATGTTTATGCTTAATCAAACTGACTGCTTCTGAATCCCTCTCTTCTAAGCAGTAATTCCAATGGATCACAAAGGGGCTCTGACAGTACAGGAGATGATGAGACAGAGTTGCTAACAGATGGCTATTTCAAGGTGATGTATAACAAGTGAAAGCACAGACATTACAGTATAAACTGTGTAATAAACTAGGCCCTATTATTAATCCAAATACTGTAGGGAATTCCCAGTGAAGAGATATGTGGATCCTGTGCAGACGCAGGAGTAGGTAGGTGTCGAGGCAGGCGAACAATCCGGTATGTCAGGCGAGTTCGTGGTCAAAAGGAGAAAGGTGGTTCGAAATCCAAGAAGTACAAATAGTGGCAAACAATCCAAAACGAGAGGCGAGGTCCAAAGTCAAAAGGCAAAAGGGAAGTCCAGAATCCAGAAGAGTGTGAGGTACAGAATAAATGCCAGGTAGAGCTCTCAAAGAGTAGACTCAATACGGAGCAGCAAGAAGTGGGTCTGAATGGCTAAAATACTGCAGCTGGCCGCACGGTAGGGCTTCCGGTACTGAGTTAACACGTGCAGCGGCACTTGTAAGAAACGCCCTGCTGCTGACACTGGTTAGCTCTCTTGGGGGCTGGTCTGGGCAGGCTGGTGGTCGTGACAAATACCAATGACATGGTCTGATACTTACAAAGCCTGAATTTCTAATGTAGTATCAGGGCTATATGAAGGGATTTATTAGCTTAGGGTGCACTAATGCTTTTTCTCAACATAGGCCACTCTAACTCCAGTTCCTCCGTAAAAGATTTTGTATAGCAAGGCCAGCTCATGTAAAAACCTCCCCAAGTGTACAGTACCGTTCAAAAATCTTTACAGATATGCCAGGGAGAAAATAAAATATACAGCAATGCTCATTCTTTATTATCGGACAAATATGTGTATCCATGAACAGATAACTGCTTCCTCGGTTTAAAGCTAGTTTTACCTCGCACATATATATAAAACACTCCTTCACAATGTGAGCGTGAGAGACAAAACTGTTGAATGTGAGAGCGTTTTGTGTGTGTTTGTGAGAGGTAAAATGGAGAGTGTGATAACATTTAATGTGTATGTGAGAGGTGAATTATGACCCAATGTAGGTGGTCCGTCTAAATGGCACAATGTGATTGGCTGCGAAAATGTAACAACAAGCTGTCTCGTTTTCTGCTGCACTCCAAGATAAAGGAAAGAAATCAACCCAAACTGTAAGAAGCACTAAGACAATCTGTAGCTTTAATTAATAACATCTGAGCCACACCAGAAGCAATAGCTTCATTGTCATCAGCTACGACGCCCGCCATTAGTGTTCTTCTGTCTGTTCTTGCTTCTGGTATGTCCCTATCTGTTTTGTACAAATATGAGGATAGATTAACCTACTTGAGTAATTAGTTATTCTATAACTTAAATTGCTCATTCATGGATCCATTTAGATGTTTTTGTCTTCTTTGTTCATCATTTAGTCATACTCAATTTGTCAGGCAGTCTTATAACCATGATTATTTGTGCCAATGTTCCCAGAGAAGATGATTACAAAAAATCCAGTTTTATCATTTCAGATAC